TGAATATCTTTCTTGACTGTTTTTACTCAGGCACTTCTGTATTTGCTAATTCTTAAACTACAATCTTGAAGAAGCAGCTGAGTAGCAAAGAATTGTAGGGAACTGGAAGTATTTATTTAAATTCACTTAGCCTCTTGGTTATTCAGTCACTCCCTCCCCTCATTCAATTAATAACAAAAGATTTCTTTTCTGTGATAAGCATAGTTAACATCTCTTTCACTTCTATTCTCACTTCTTCCTAGCTAAAAGATCAGTAGTTTTCCATTGGGTGAGAATGTTCCCGGCCCCAGTCATGTTCCCTACTTTCTAAGTTCCTCTCTGTAGCTAGGAATGATTACGTGTCTCTGTTTAAGCCAAAGAAATGTGAAATGGCCTCTGGGAAAATGTTTTCTTTCCCAATAAAGGGTGGGGCAAATAGAGCTGGCTTCATCATTCATCTTGCCCCTTTCTCCCTTTGAATATAGACATGATCTAGAGAGGCAGCAGCCCCTTGTGACCATGAGACTATAAGCCCACCCACATAAGTAAAGATTGTAAAAAGGAATGGAAGGGGGTCAGAAGGTATATTCAGGTCCTTAGTGACATCACTGAACAGCTGAACTAATATTAAAAATAGCTTACCTCTTAATTTCTTTTTGTGAGAAACTAACAAACAAACCTATTTGCCACTGGTTTTCAATTTGGTCAATTTGGCCCCCCAGAGGACATTTGGCAATATCTGGAGGCATTGTTTTTACTGTCATGACTGTGGGTGGGGGGGTGAGGTTATTGGCATCCTAACAGGTAGGAGCCAGGGATGCTATTATACATTATACTTTTTACCAGGCACAGACATAGTCTTCCACAACAAAGAATTATCTGATCCAAAATGTCAGCAGTGCTGAGAATGAGAAACCCTGGTTCAAGCACTGAAAATGTTTGTTATTCACAGTCAAATGCATTCCTGACTGATACATTCCCTCATTTGGGAAACACTAAACATACACCTTGGAACGCACATTATATACCAAGTACGACACCAGAAGTGACTGAGTAAAAAATGTCTGGATTTCTAAACTCACTCCAGACCATCCACTGGCAAAAACATCTGGGTCTCAAAGGATTGCTCTAGTATCCAAGGAAGTCAATTCATCATCTCTGGTGACGCCCTCAATGAGGAGTTTTGTGTGTCTTTTTCCTTAGAGTATAAATAAATAAAAGCGGTAAATAAAAAAAAAGCAACAGGAATAAAGCACTTTTGTTAAAGGGGATGAAGGTTTGAGCACCTATTCTGTGCCAGGCATTCTACTAGAGGTATGGAAACATACATAAAGGCAGAGGTGTATATATGACTTTTTAGAAGACAGTTCTCATGAGGGCACTTTGATTCTTCACAAATGTTCAAAAACAACAATTGTGTCCATAATCCTAGGCATTCACAAGGCTTTTCTGTAGCTGCTAGAGATTCTGGCACTACTTGGAAGGAGGTTATAAAATCAGGTAACTCATTCACAAAAAAGTCACACCAGAACTAATATAAAGGTCCTAATAAATGTGGTTCCTTTTTTTTTTTTTTAGATTTTATTTATTCATTCATTCATAAGAGACACAGGCAGAGGGAGAAGCAGGCTCCATGCAGGGAGCCCGATGTGGGACTCTATCCCAGGTCTCCAGGATCAGGCTCTGGGCCGAAGGCGGTGCTAAACCGCTGAGCCACCCGGGCTCCCCTGTGGTTCCTTTTAAAGATTACTCATTCTCCAATTCCTTGGGACATTACATTTCTAAGAAGGCTCTCTTTGCCACAAACATTTCAAGGACTTGTTATTAGAATCTATATGTGAACTTCCATTTAAAAGCCTCAAAGTTGGGCAGGGGGTGGGGGTGACTGGGTGATGGGCACTGAGGGGTGCACTTGATGGGTGCCAGCAATGGGTATTTATGCTGTATGTTGGCAAATTAAACTCCAATAAAAATAAATAAATAAAAGCCTCAAATTTGGTAAATTTTTGTCATGTACGTGTGTTAATTTTCAGAAACAGCTAAGATTGAGAGCCAAGTCTAATAGAAAAGGTGGTCACACTGGGTGTTCCCAGAAGTCAAATAAAATAATTGTGTGCTTAGTTCTGAAGGAAGCTCCAAATAAAAAATACTTTGAATAACAGCACGGTTGTTGGAAATAATGTATGTCTGCTTCTGCTTCTGCTGAGAGGATCACTTCCACCCTCAATGATTATGAAAAACTAATATCTATTCCATTAAACCACACATTTAGACTCAAATTCTTCTATGTCACTGTATATTCTTTCTGCCACTGCCAGGGACTTCCACAAGTTTAGAATACTTCAGTGATTTAATTTTAATTACAAAGGGAAAACATAGGAAGAGAGTAATGAGAAATAGTAAACTATTGAAAGGGAAGATCTTAAAGAAAATTTAAGGTGTTATGTACATTACGGAGATCTCAAATAGTCCTAGGATTACAGTATATAAAATTCCACATGAAAGATAAGTAATCTTCTTAAAGTGGAAATTCCCTACATCATGAGGTGCAAAACTGTGAAGTCCTGGGTCAGGAGAGTGAATGTTACTCTGTTTAACAGATATTGATTTAATAGCTATTATGAATTGGGTCCTGGGAGATACAGTTCTCCCCCCTATGAGCTTGACTGGGGGAAGTGAGCCTTTCTGGAAGACTTAAAGCCTACTAAGGCCAAGGAATCTGTATGTAATCCATGAAAATCTTCAGGATGTGGGTTCTGTGTATTCCTACCTTTTCATGCAGACAAGGAAATATATTTTACAGAAATGTCAAGTTACTTGCCAAACACTATATCCAAAAGCAGATCAGAACTCTGATCTCATTACAAAATTGCACTATTAAACTGCAATAATTTAATAAACAAATTATAAGACTTTAAATTGAATGTGCAGTCCTATTTTATAGACATTTGCCAGAACACATACAAACACACACTGTCCTATGTTCACCCCAGTAGAGACTTTCTGCTGCCTATACTTCAGAGCCCAGTGACCATGAAGCCAATTGATATTCAGTCATTTTCTGTGATGTCCCTCAACAGTATGACTTCAGGAGGTTTCAGCTACCTGCCTAGCACTGCCAGGTGACTTCTTTCATACCTATCTGCGAAGAGATAAATACTGCCAACTCACCTGGCTCACTGATGAGAAGGTGTTGGGAACAACCTCTCTCCCACAAGGCTCCATAAATGGAAAATAGGAAGGGCACTTCCAAGTCATTTTGCCAAAAAATTAAAAAATGATGGAGTGAGGAAGCAGTTTAGGTTTGGCCAAGTGGCAGATTTGGGTGACTTGGGGAAATACTTTCCCACTCAGGAACTCTACAACATAATGCCCCAAACACTGTCTTTCAGGATTCAGTCCCAAATGCCAGAAAATACAAAAAGGTAAAGAGTAACATAAAACAAGTCTTTATCTTTTATTTACCTCTACCGGATAAACCCTGAATGACTCCCCTGCCTTTGATTGTCTTGTCTGCATATTTCCGCTAAGAGTTTACAAAACAGCACTCCCCAATAGGAAAATAAGAGGTGCACCTATTTGTTGAATAACATCAAGGAAGAAAACTGCTAACTCATCCATTTTGTTGTTAAATTGCTCAAAAGGATCAAAATACCAATTAACTTGCTGGCTCAGAAATCTTTGATACCTTCAGATTTACTGACATTTTGAAATTCTTGTTCATACTTGCCTAATGGCTTTCTGATTACGAACAAAGAAGTGCCAATCTGTTTAGCATTTGACCTGTTTTCTTAAATATTTTTATGTATTTCACACTCAGTGGCTAAAAATACTTGACTAGTCACATTCATGTGCTAAAATAGTCTTTTTTTTTTCTTGTTCCACCTCCAAATTTAAGAGGAAAAAGGAGCTCAAAGACACTTCCTTTTTAAAAGCCATTTTGTTATTTTTAATTTAAAAACTCTCACTGCAAGGAAATTTTTTTGCTCTTTCTTTTACATGGAAGGTAGTGGCATTTGGAAGATTCGAAGAAGCAAGATACTGTATTAGAATTCATTCTTCCAGAGAAAAAGTTGGAAAAATGACCTTGGGCATAAGTTTCAGAAAGGAGGTAAAAAGAAAACTGACGGGGTGCAGATTTTATAGTGGGTTTTAACTTTCCTATCTGGACATCCTCAGATAGCAATGCATCTCACAGGTGGCTTTTTGTTAACATTGCCCTCTATTTCCTCACAGAAAATTTTGTAAAAATTCTACCTGTAATCACATGATACACAGTGTATCTCTATGGCCGCTGTATAAAAAGGAACAGATTTTCACTCCTAGTTAAAGTCAATTTCTAGGTCTAAAAAGCTCCAAAACAATTTATTTCAATAGACATTGGTTGATTGCAATGAACTGAGGAGATAAAAGTGTATGATGAAGACTTCTAGGTTCAAATGTCTGCTCTACCATTCACTAGCATGGGACCTTGGGAAAGTCACTTACGTTTCTTTCTGCACCTGAATTTCCTCATCTATAAAATGAGAATAATAATAGAGTATAGCTTACAGGACTATTCTGTGACTCAAATGAGATTATACACCTAGGGCATTCTAGGTGCTTTGCAAATATCAGCTATGCTTTTGTATCATGCCATTTTTTTTAGCCTAAAGATTGGGTGCCTGGGTGTATTCACACCCACTAGACTCTTAATCCACTTATGGAGGAACACTTTCATCATTCAATATCAATTAAATATCTGGAAATTCTGAAATCCAAGGATATATACAATATATAAATACCTATGGACGTTTTTATTTTTTTTAAGCGATAAGAAGGGTGCTTACTCTGTCCTCCAGAGCACTGCAATTTAGTTGAAGCACAATAAAAATGCAAACATTTAAGCAAGTAAATGGTAGCTGGTAACCAGCCAATTACATGTTAGGAGGCAAACATGCAGGAGGAACAATCCCAGGGGACCAGGACAGCCACAGCACAGCTATATTTAACATAATGTATTTCCCAAGATGCCACCTGACCTTTTCACAAATTCTTCAAAGAGGATGCGGTGGGAATACCCCTGCCTGCGGATGCTGACTGTCTCCAGGATCCCTGTGGAACGGAGCTGGGCCAGCACACTCTCTCGGGAGAACTTCAAGGCCTCTCGGTCATCATTGGGTTTAATGCACCGCACAAAGTGGGGCTGTCCAACCACCATTTTGGAGAGCAGATCCATCAGAGAGTACTATCAGGGGAAAAAATACACATGAAATGAGGTTACCACAAACATAATAATAGAGAATTACAACAGAGGCCTACAGGGGCCTCTAGAGCAGTTTGTTGGCTTGTAAACAACTCACAGATCTTTTTGAGGCCAAAAAAGAAGCCAGTAATACAGGGTGATAATATAGGTTCTTATGAATACTTATAGCTGCCTGTGGATTCAAAAGCATTCTTTAAACATCACCTAGTACCAGGGTGCCTGGGTGGCTCAGCTGGCTGAGTGTCTGACTCTTGATTTCAGCTCAGGTCATGATCTTGGGGTCATGGGATTGAGCCTTTTGTTGGGGTCCCTGCTCAGCTTGGTGGTGGGGAGGGGGGAGTTCTGCTTGAGATTCTCTCACTCTGACCCTCTCTTCTGCTCATATACTAACACTCTCTCTCTAAAATGAATAGATGAGGGGTGTCTAGGTGGCTAAGTTGGTTAGGCATTCAACTCGTGATTTTGGCTCAGGTCATGATCTCAGGATCATCCGATTGAACCCTGCTTTGAGCTCCTCTCTCAGCAGAGAATCTGCTTGAGATTCTCTCCCTTTCCTTCTCCCTCAACCACTCCTCCCAGGTCATGTGTGTTCTCATTTTCTCTCTCAAATAAATAAATATTTAAAAATAAAGAAAGAAAACAAATAGATGAATCATAAATAAATAAATAAACAAACAAATAAATAAGTATCACGTAGTGCCAAGCGATATCCTTATGGCAGAAACTTAGCTAAGGACATGCTTAGGTTACCCAGTAACTCTATCGCCAGAACTAGCTTGTCTCTAGGAGTCTAAGGTAGTATTCCATAAACTGTGCCTGTAATTTAAAATGTCTAACTGGGACACCTGTGTGGCTCAGCGGTTGAGCGTCTGTCTTTGGCTCAGGGCATGATTCGGGGTCCCAGGATAGAGTCCCACATCAGGCTCCCTGCAGGGAGCCTGCTTCTCCCTCTGCCTATGTCTCTCTCTCTCTGTCTCTCATGAATGAATAAATAAAATCTTTAAAAAATAAAATAAAACGTCCAGCTACTAGGAAAGGGGTCAGTTGCTTCTTCAGCCCAAGAATAACCAGAAAGTCTAAGCAAATGTTACTGATAGTACTGGTAATGAAGCAGAAGAAAAAGAAGAAACAGACAGAAAAAGGGCAAAGAAAACAAGACAATTGGAGAGAAGTTGATTATAGTGAAGATCAACCCATATCTTTAGAATGACTTGCAGGGGGCTCTCACAGCAAGAGGGTACATAGAAAAGCAGAGCCCTGCTTGTGTGGGAATAGCCTCAGCTGCTCCTCAGGGGCATCCACTTTTGGAGTTTCTCTTTTAGACACAGCTTCAGGGGCAATTACAAGCCACACAAGAAATCAGTCCCATTATTTCATAACCACTGACCCAAAATGGTATTACCTGGCTTGTCAATGCATTCTTTTTCTCAGAATTAACATTTGGGGGACACCAAGCTGATTGTCATGGATACATTTCTGAAAAATCATAAGGTAAAGGTGGCTTCTTCTGAAAGAGGGATTCTAGGATCTGGAAGATGATATCACACAGTTCTTCAGAGTCTCTAAATCCCATGGGACACACTGCCCCCTCAAGACACTAGGAAGATACAGCTACTAAAGGGGAGAGGACCAGGGTAAATCTCAAGATAAGAAATAAATGACAATTAGAAATGTCCAACCATGAGAGTGATGAAGCAGGAGCTGACTGTCCACCTGTCAGAGAAGCTGTGGCAAGAATTACTGCATGGATGGAATACTGGACTTAAAGGTCTCTGGGCCCAATTCATACCCTCAGATCCCAATTTTAGTTTATTTCTGAAGTACAGCTGACTAGATCAGACTTCTTGGCTTTGGGTCCTTCTTGAACCTGCCAGCTTTCCATGGAGCCTTCCACCCATGGTGCAACCCCAGCTCATGACCACCTGGCTTCCCATCCCTACTGAGCCCCTTCAAATTGCAACTCCACCTTACAACCTGAGATCAGTAATCTCATCTATAGCCTAATAGCTTCTCTACCACAAAGCTGCCTAGACCTTAGCTCCCCGTGGTTCATGATCTCAAGGGGTTTCTAACCCTAGTGCTTTATACTGTGAAGATAAATCTACGTGAATTGGTATAATGTGCATCTAAGCAGAGCCTTTGTAGGCACAATGTTTTTACTCAAAGGAATCATTTTACTGGATGAAATATCAAGACTTGGGGCAGCAGAGTCTGGGTCAATTTGATCCGGAAAAATAAAGTCAAAACTAAGACGGATTCCCTCAGGATCTGAAATTAATAAGCCACCTTCTAGAATTTTATTAAATACTTTATTTTTCAGCAAATATGCTGGGAAAGCAGCTGGTTCCAGTAGCTTTAAGGCCAAGAAGTGGGTCAGATGCTAATAGAATCAGCACACTGAATGGACAAAGCTATGTGTCAGTGACAGAGAGGGTCCTCTCTGTAGACACATGGGATTTCATCTGATCTTCCTGAAATCAGAGAACAGAGCTAGGTTCCCTTCATTCCTACCTTTCTTAACTGACTCTTGTGCTTTGCTCTTCAATAATTCCATCATAGTTGAGCCTCTTATATGAAGGATTGGGAGTCCTTTTTAGAAGTAGGCAGAATAGAGATTAAAAAGACTCCATACCCGGAAGTAAGAAGCCATGGTCTGCCTCTTCATGTTGGTAGTTTCTTCTGGATGCCGTATCACCTCCAGAGTGTCCACCTAGAGTAGAGGCAGAGGGAAGTAGTTTAAGGATATAGACATTTTCTGGCTTTTCCAAAATCTGTTTGGTTCAATACCTGAGGGACCTTGATGTTTTGAACATGACAGTGAATACTACAGGAGAAGTTTTAAGATATATAAAAGAAAAATAGAATTTGTGCTGTTCTACTCACTTGAGAATAACCACACTCTGCAAAGTACCATATGATCTTGGTGTAAGTACCTATCACTATTATTTCTATGTCTTTTGATGTTCTAATGGTCTCCTGTTAAGTTCTCCAATAATGTCGCATGAAACCAATTTCTTTCTTTTTTTTTTAAGATTTATTTATTCATGAGAGACACAGAGAGAGGCAGAGACATAGGCAGAGGGAGAAGCAGACTCCCTCCAGAGCCTGATGCAGGACTGGATCCCAGGACCCTGGGATGACAACAGGAGCAAAGGCAGAGCCAGAGGCTTAATCACTGAGCGACCCAGGTGCCCCCAAACAGTTTTTTAAAAGAAAACTGGGCAACCACCCATGAAGCTGGATGATTATAAAGACATGGGCCCAAAGCCCATGTTGGACCTCAGGGAATTAGATGGGTTCCAGTTACCTTCCTGCCATCAAACCCTGCTGCTACTCCGCCCATTCCCCACAGTTCCCACATGGTCACTGTAGACCAGAGCTTGAGATACACATGTTCCCAATCATCTATCTCAACTACCTGGGCTGACTAGAAGAAATTTATGAATGAAAACAAATGTAGGAAACAACCTGCTTTGTTATCATACCTTAACAATAAAAACCCTGCTCCTGCACATACAAGCTATTTGGTTTACAGAGTGCACAAGTGGCATTTTAGCACCAGCCTCTGCCATGGCAGCTTCCCATCTGCTCTGAACAGGTGGCAAGAGTATGAAGCAGGAATGTTTAAACTGGAAGATGCTGCTGTCAGCAAGTGTGTTCTGCTTGGTGAATTGCTGTCCAGGCGGCCACCTCCCCATGGGGTGAGGATGTCTGCAGCCTTGTTCAACAAAAGTGCAAAGTGGGTGCTAGAAGGGTTGAGGGCATGAGGGGCAAATAATGAGGCCCTATCTGAAGGGCTATTTAGGAGACTGTGCAAAATGGAAGGAAATGCTTCAATTGGCTTAAAGAAAACAGTTTAAGAAAGGGAATAAACGGGGAGCTAAGTTTTCAATAGCCAGAAAAGCAACCTAAATAGTGAGCAGGAATATGAGGCTATCTCTGCATGAAGTGATATCAGGGGGCAAGGCAGCTTCCTTTTCTAGGCTGCATGTTGGATGCATTCCCAAAGCCATCAGTTTATTTGCATGCAGCTAAAGTTATGGTACAGCCTGTAGGTTTTAACTTTATTTTTTTTTTTTTTTAATGAGAAAGGAGGACATGAAAGCTTGGTGTTGAGCACGAAGGCTTTTCTAATATAGAAAAGGGGAAAACCAACACTACACTCCCACCACATCTGAAGAGATTGTATTGCATTCTTTCCATGGGCATCTGCAAGGACCCACTGAAGGTCCTCTTCCCCCATCTCATCCCTGTTTGGAGGATGGAGCTGCTGAGGTTTGGGGCCAGCAAATCAGAACTGCAGGAGAGAGGATCTTGCTAGGCTCTGCCTTCAGTTGAATTGTAAATTCTACGTTTTCTTGAACTTTTTCTCCTTACTTTCTTTCCCCTCAATCTGACCTTCATATAAACACACACACAGTCTAAACTTGGAAATTTCTCCACCACTTCCTTATGACTTCCTTTTATTCTGGGATCCCCTCTGAAGAATCCTATCTTACTTTGAATCTTGCTTTTCCTCCCTCATTTCCCTCCCTTTTTATTCAAAGGACTCAGTGGGCTCTAGGGCACAGTAAAAAGGACAGCTTAAAAACTCATCCATATTTTTCTATTAAAATTCACCTGTTAACTCCCCTCAGAATATACAATAGGCTCTTAGCATTTGAGAATTTAACAGTTTAGTGATCAGAAAATCCTTGATGGATGGGACATAATTTAAAAGGTACAATAAATATTGTTTTCAAGATCGGTACCTGTCCTCTGCAGCAAACTGGAAAAATACAGAATGAAGCACTAATTTGCACTCTAAAAGTTATAAGGCTGGTGGGCTCCCCTATCTAACCTCCCAGCATGACCGAGTTCTGTCCTATTCACATACAGAGTAGCTCTGGGAATGTAAGTAAAAACCTATTTGCTATTACATACAGCCTGGAAGTGCTAATGCTTGTCCACAGTTTATCACCTACATATTTAGTACTACATTTTAAAGAATAAATAACATGCTATTGAGGCATTTTCTAATTTAGGAATTCGGAAATGTTTTGTGTTGGCCAAGGACTTCTTGTATAGTCACAAAGTTCTCCTGAGCATGGAATGGATCTGAAAGAGGAAATTTTGGATAAGGGATATACCAGAAGTTGAATCTCTTGGTCCTTCAAACTAGGAGACTAGGCACAAACCTCACCTCTGTCTGCATTAGGTCTATTATGAACTCTAAGAAACTCCAAAAAAATTCAAACCAAAACATAAATGAAGGTTGTTGTCTGATTTAAAAGTCTGTCATCCTGTGCTAATTTAGTTAAAAGTAGCTTCATTTACTTTAAAAAATTTTTTTTTCAGAAAGAATCCAGAAAGTAGATTTCATTAGGGATACCAGCTAGCATTTAGTCCTTCCCAAAGGTGGGGAATTCACAAGAAACAGTTTTCCCCAGAGTATCTTATCATTTTTACCGCAGATAGGGGAAAATACACTAGAAAAGCTTTCCTGGGCTTAGAGGATATATGCTATAGAACACAGTTTCGGAACTGGACACACCTGGTTCAAATACTGACTGTTCAACTTAACTAACCTGTGTGGACTTGGACTCTTTGCTTCTCAAAACCTGTTTTCCTTATTAAGAAAACTGGTTAAAAGCTACTGCCTTGCACACATGTAAGAAGTATATCAGTTTCCCTTCCATGATTACCATGCTTGATTTAGTTTTAGTTTAGTGATGAACGTCAATGATGCAGGGTTTTCTTCAATGGCAGATGGCAAGTACTAGCACCCATGCAACACAGCAAGATTTTTTTAACTTATTGGCAGAGAAAATACTTTCTTTTTTTTTAAAAAAAAGATTTTATTTATTTATTCATTAGAGACAGAGAGAGAGAGAGAGAGAGAGAGAGAGGCAGAGACATAGGCAGAGGGAGAAGCAGGCTCCATGCAGCAAACCCAACGTGGGACTCAATCCCGGGTCTCCAGAATCAGGCCCTGGGCCAAAGGCAGCGCTAAACCGCCGAGCCACCCAGGCTGCCCAAGAAAATACTTTCAATGAAACCAATTTCAAGATGATTAGTAAAACCAATATTCTAGATCCAACCACTGTCTGTCTAACCCAGTATCCTTTCTCTTCCAGTTTCAATTTATATAACAATATAAGTCAATTGGAGCTGAGCAAGGCTGCTTTCTGCCCACATGACAAATGTCCTACCCAATTTCTTATGAGAGGTGCTGGTTAGTGTTCAAAGTAGTCCTGAGTAAGCTTTACAAATTGTAATATAAACTCCAAGTCCACAGGAAATGAGCAAGCTTCAGTATACGTATGGACTCCACACATGGGAGTTTTAGATGGTTACCAAAACACGAGTAATAAAGCATCCATTGTTCCAAAGTAAAAATCATTGTAGGAACCACTCTGCCTATATTATGCCAGTGAAGTCTTAAAATGACCCTATGAGTTAAGTACTATTATTATTCCTATGGTACATACGAAGAGGTTAAGGCTCAAGAGATTTTAGGGAAAATTTCCAGGGTCTTTTAGCTAGTAATTGGCCATGCCTACATCTAAATCCAGTTCTGTCTGATTCCAAAACCTTACTTCTTAAACATTATATATACTGCCTTTCTATGTGATTTGATATAACTTATAAAATCAATCTAAATGCATGGTATTATTAAAAAGACTTGCCTTATCTGTCAACTAAATTTACTCTAGGATAAAGACATAGATTCCAAGAAATCTTAAAAACCACCTAGATTTCAACAATAAATGAAAAATGGAAAGATTTTTGTTCCTGGTCTCAGTAAGTACCCACTATTTGGATTCTCAAACCTCAAAAGTGCTTATTATTTATCTTCTTGACATCATCTCTTGTCAAGAATTTTTATGCTATCAAGTAATCCACCCCTTAAGGAAAAAAACCCCTATACAGCATCACTCCTCTCAAAGCCTTCAAAGCCCTGAATGGAAAAGCAAGACTGGCATTGACATCATCTGAATGTGGTGGTGCTGAATGTGTTGGAGGTCAGCTTCCTATAAGATCACTTGTGTTCTTTTACCTCAGATAAGGCAGAGAAAAACTGCTGGAGTGTTTTTATTACTGTTACACTTATTTTCTGATGCCTCAACTAGAACTTTCAACTCATCTCTCTTCCAAATGAAAACAAATGACTAGTCATTTTCATCTCATTTATATACATTATTATGATGATGTAAATATATGCCACATACTAGAGGGCACACTTGTCACACAAGGCCTGAACAACAGTATGCAGTGTAGAGAGAAAGGTAACATTGCGCTGGTATTCTGTGTGGAAGGCAGGGGAACGGGGTCCTTGCAGAATCCAACAGCCACAATAGCAAATTGAGGAAAGGATGGTAATGTGGCCTGAAGAGAATATTACCCAGGAGTCTTTAATCTTTTTGTGTCATGATCTCTTTTAGAATCTAGTGGGAGCCAATGACTCCAAAAAACAGACAGTTGATCCTCATTATTTGTGGATTCTGTATTTGTTAATGTGCCTACTTTCTAATGTTTATTTTTAAACCCCAAATCAGTTCCTGCAGTGCTTTCATGATGATTTACGCACATACAGAGTGGTGAAAACTGATTACCCAATATACCTGTTTCTAGCTCAGGTTGAACAAGGTGACATTCTGCCTTTCTGTTTTAGCTCTCATGCTATAATCCAGGTTTATTTAAGTGCCATGTGCTTTGCATTTTTGTACTTTTGGTTAGTGATTTCACTGTTTAAAAAGAGCCCCCAAGCATAGTGCTGGAGTGTTGTCTAGTGTTCCTAAGTGCAAGAAAGCTATTAAATACCTCTTGGGAAACATACCTGTATTAGACAAACTTAATTTGGGCATGAGTTATAGTGCTGTTGGCCTTGGATTCAATGACACAAATACTGCAATTAAAATATTATTTTAGGGTGTCATGGGTGGCTCAGTCTGTTACGTGTCCAACTCTTGGTTTTGGCTCAGGTCACAATCCCAGGGTCCTGAGATTGAGACTTGTGCTGGGCACCATGCTCAGCTGGGAATCTGTTTGAGATTTTCTTCCTCTCCCTTTGCTGCCTCCATTTTCACATTTGCTCTTGCTTTAGTTCTCTCTCTTTCTAAAATAAATAAATAAATCTTCTAAAAAATAAAATATTGTTTTATACAAAGAAATACTGCATATAATTATTTGTAAGAAATATACATTAAATAATGTGCTTTTAAATAGAAAAACACATCAAACAAGATTGTGCACTAATTGGTTGACAACAATGTTGCGAGCAGAGGCTTTCAGGAACCTAACCACATATTTCCCATAGGAGCAATGCTCCAGTGTTTGCTGACTCAGTATTCACAGCAACTTTATAGAACGTGATTGCATGAATAATTAAGAATCAATTAAAATTTTTTACATGTAATAGTATCAAGAGGCTCTTAGAACCACTAAAACTCTGAGGTAAATTTCTTCTAGGGACCTGTATAAACCATGTTATATAGTCCTAATATCTTGCCATGAATTCACAAGACTGAAAAGTAGAAAAGTAGAATAATACATGTGGTTATAATAGCAATGTGGGTATAAAAATTATTGCTAACAAAAATGATCTGAGTCTTATTACGCATAGGTAAGTCTTTCATTCTCAAAGAAAATTTGAATATGTATGTTTGTATCAATTTCGAGATAATATTCAATAGTATTCTATGTGGCTGAATTTATTATTCTTTATTAAATAATTTAATATTTAATGTAAATAAAATATATGAAAATTCAGAGATATGATCTATTTATTTTATTACAGCTTCACCTTTTAGATAACTGGGTTTTGGTGTTAGTATATACAGAGAGCATTAGCCAGCCAATCCTTGAGATCCTTGCTAAACGTTAGCTCAAAGGATATAAGTTAAAAATATTTTACGGTGGGATATTTATTAACCTTCTAACATTCCCTTTGCACAGAGAAGTACACCTCTCATTTTTCAGAGAGCAAAACAGAATGACAGGAAATGGTTTGGTTTCTTTCCTTTCTGCTAACTCCATTTTGGTCCCTGTTAGCCTCCTCTGTAGGTTGGTGATGGCCTCTAGGAAAAGTGCTTTATCTCTTCCTAGACAGGCTTTATGTGCAAGTGTCATTGTTCTGCATCTTAAGTTGTCTTTCTGAGACTCACAAATGAAGGGGTCCAGAATATGCCACACTGGCATAGGTATTATTTTGAGCTGAAGACAATCTGAAAATCAACAGTTGCAAGAAGAGGCTTTTCCTGAACTCTCCTTATCTGGCTAAAAACAGGGCCTCTCAAAATAATCCAACTGTCATAAAACTCCTCCCTGGCAGTTTCACAACCTGTTATGGAAGATTGACTGCTATCACCACAGATGAGAAATGAACACTGGGATAAGAAACTGCCTAACCAGACACTGTCACAGAACCATCATACTTCCCATCTATTCTCCTAAGGGACCATTTGTTTTTCCCAAAAGTCATCTGTTCTCCCACAAGTGCCCATCTCTCCCTCCTCTTGCCCCATTCATCCCCTATTAAGATGGCATATAAGCCTCAAATTCTAATTACCTCTTTGAGTTACTTTTTTGAGAGAGTTCCTAATAATGCACATAATTAAAATTTGTTTTTTCTCCTGTTAAACTTTCAGGTTGAATTTAATTCAGTACCCCCAAGAACTGAAGTTAAGAGAGTAGAGGAAAAGTTTTCTCCCCTGACACAGTACTTTAAGAATTCCATGACACTGTTTATGTTTCAAATTTCCTAACTGCTGATTTCCTAAATGCCTTCATCTCTTTATCAGATTACCCAAGCAGTGGGCTAGATAAACTAAAGTTGTCTACCCTAGGATTACCCCAAAGGCAGGAGCAAGCACCCCACAGTCCACATTATTTTGAGTACAAACCTGCTACTCACCTTGGTTCTCCCAGTACTGAAATGTGGAGGCAAAGATCTTGAGGCTGCTGTTATCCTGGCTCTTGTTTGGGCCAAATTACCTGAGCAAAAAAAACAAAAAAGTTAAAGTGAAGGAAAAGTTAAGGAATAGTATTATGAGCAATTTTTGTCTTTATGTTTTTGCATTTTTATTAATTTTCCAAATAATCTGCTCTGAATATGAAAAATTTGGAAGAATTTAGACTTTGAAACTTTAATGATATAAACAAATTATAATTTATGATATAAACAAATTATAATTTATAATATAAATTGAATTTATATTAGTTTCATAAGCAAAACAGAAACAATAAAAAACTCTCCAATTCACTCAATAAACTAGCAAAAGAAAAAAATTGCCATACATAAAAAGGACATATAAAAAGCCCACAGCTAACAACTCAACAGGAATGATTGAAAGCTTTTTCCTCTAAGATCAGGATCAGAGCAAGGACGCTCACTCTTACCACTTCTATTCAACTAGCAGTCCTAGCTCAAGCAGTTAGGCAAGAAAAAGAAATAAAAGACACCCAAATTGTAAAGAAAGAAGTAAAATGATCTCTGTTCACAGGTGGTATGATCTTGTATATTAAAAATAACCCTAAAAATCCTGCAAAAAACCCTGCTAAAACTAGTAAGTCAATTCAGCAAATTTGTAAGATATAAAATCAGCATAGAAAAATCAGTTGCATTTCTATGCACTAACAATGAAAATCTGAAAAGGAAACTAAGAAAATCCTACTTATAATAGCATCAAAAAGAATAAATACTTAGAAATAAATGTAACCAAGGAAGCAAAAGACTTGTGCTATGAAAACTACAAAGTATTCCTGAAAGAAATTAAAGAAGGCACACAAATAAATGGAGAGGTATTTTGTTTTTGGGAAGGAAAGGAATCTTTTTCCTCTACTCATCTCATGTTCATTTCCTGGGGCTCTGCAAATTAGATTGACAGAAGACAGATTAACAAAAGAAAAGCAAACAGCAGTTTATTAATGCATCACACATACATACAGGAGTACTTGGTGATAAGTAACTCAAGGGGTGGTTAGAATTGGGCTCACAAAGCATCTTAACAAAACAATAATAAATTTCTTGGTAAGTGACAAAAGATGTTTGAATTTCTAGGAGCAGTAAATTATGGAAAGGTAAATATATGAGGAAGCTAATGGAAGGTAAGGACTAGTTAGTAAAATTTTGTTATACAGATTCCTCTGGTGCCATCTCTGGGCAGACAAAGGTCTAGAGTTTTCTCTGGTGATTAACTTCTGTCCTTCCTGGTAGAGAGGGGTGGGGGGATACTTCTACAAATTTATGTCTTGCTTTTATGTAAACAAAGGGAAAGCAGAGAGCTTTTCTTATATCTTCTTCTCAATCACCTCCAGCTCAAAATAATCTTTATGCCAAAGTGGCATATTTTAGGGTGGCATACTCTGCTACCCTTTACTGTGTTTATGGATTGAAAGATCTAATATTGTTAAAATGTCCGTGCTAACCACAAGGATCTATAGATTCAATATTATCCCCATCAAGATCCTAATGGCATTTTTGCAGAAATATAAAAAACTCTAAAATTCATCTGGAAACACAAAGTACCCAAAGTTCCAAACAATCTTGAAAAGGAAAAGAAAAAAAAAAAAAAGAAAAAAGAGAAGGAAAAGAAAAGCTGAAAGCTTCACACTTCCTGATTTCAAAATGTATTAATCACCAACAGTAATCAAAACACTATGGTACTGGCATAAAGACAAACATATAGACCTATGAAACAGAGTAGAGCCCAGAAATAAATCTATGCATAGATGGTCAAGTAATCCTTAAAAGGGGTGTCAAGATTATATAATGGGGAAAGGGTAGTCTCTTCATCAAATCGTGTTTGGACAACTCAATATCCACATGCAAAAGAATGAAACTGGACCCTATCTTATACAAAATTCAATTCCTATTGGATTAAAGATTTAAATGTAAGACCTGAAACTATAAAACTCCTAGGAAAAAACATAGGGAGAGAGCTTCATGACACTGATCTTAGCAATGATTTCTTGGATAGGATATCAAAAGCACAAGCAATAAAAGCAAAAATAGACAAGAGGCTTTACATCAAATCATAAGCTTCTGCACAGGAAACAATCAGCAGAGGGAAAAGGAAACCTACAGAATGGGAGAAAATATTTGCAGAGCATATAAGGGGTTAATTTCCAAGATCTATACAGACTTCTACAACTCAACAGCAAAAAATAAAATAAATAATAAAATAATAAAATAATAAAATAAAATAAAATAAAACAAAACATAACTGGATTTAAAACTGGGCAAAGGAGGGGTTCCTGGGTGGCCCAGCTGGTTCAATGTCCGACACTTGATTTCAGATCAGCTCATGATCTCAGAATTGTGCGATCGAGGCCTACATTGGGTTCCATGCTCAGTGGGGAGTCTGCTTGGGATTCTCTCTCTCCCTCTGCCCCTCCTCACTGTGTGTGCACACACGTGCTTCTTCTCCAAAATAACTAATTACATTTTAAATTTCTTTTTCAAGATTTTATTTATTTATTCATGAGACACACACACACACACAGAGAGAGAGAGAGAGAGAGAGAGAGAGAGAGAGAGAGGCTGAGACATAGGCAGAGGGAGAAGCAGGCTCCATGCAGGGAGCCTGATGTGGGACTTGATCCCAGGACTCCAGGATCACGCCCTGGTTTGAAGGCAGGCACTAAACGGCTGATACCCAGGGGTCCCCTAATTACATTTTTAATATAAAAAGAATAAAAAAATAAAAATGGGCAAAGTACTTGAATAGGCATTTCTCCAAAGATGACATAAAAATGGCCAAAAGCTTTATTAAAAGATGCTCATCACTAAGTGTCAGGGAAATGCATATCAAAACCACAACAAGATATCATTTTATACTGTTTAGGATGGCCATTATATAAAACAACAACAATAACAACAGAAAATAACAAGTGTTGGCAAGGATATGGAGAAACTGGAACTTCTCACTGCTGGTGGGAATATAAAGTGGTACAACCAATACAGAAAACAGTGTGGAGATTCTTGAAAAAATTAAAAATAGAATACCATGTGATCCAACAATTCCACTTCTGGGTATTTATCCAAAACAACTGGAAACAGAATCATGAAGAGGTGTTTGCCTCCCATGTTCATCAAAGCACTATTCACAACAGCCAAGCAGTGAACAAACTAAATATTCATCAAAGGATGAATGGATATAGAAAACGTGGTATATACGTACAACGGAATATTATACAGCCAGATGTCCCGCCATTTGAGACAACATAGATGAACTTGGGACATTATGCTAAGTGAAATAAGCCAGTCTTAGATAAGCTCATAAAAGCAGAAACTAGAATATTGGTTGCCAGAAGCTGTGGGGACAGGGAAAGGGGGGCATTGCTGTTCAATGGGTATAGAGTTTCCGTAATGCAAGATGAAAAAGTTCAGAGTCTGCTCTACAACAATGTGCATATGGTGAACAATATTGTATTGTTTACTTAAAAATGTGCTAGGAGGGTAGGTTTCATGTTACGTGTTTTTACCACCATAAAAAAAAAAGTCTCCAAATAGAGCACTGTTAGTCTTTGAAAGACATAAATAAGCAAGAAAAAAGAAGCTGGGAGTTTTCTTAAAAGAGAAATTGGGCAACAGAGAACCCCACTGTGAAGGTTTAAGACACAGATAGTGATTGGCAGATCTGGTATATGGGTCCCTCAGCACACAGGGAAAAAGCCTGCCATTCAGTGAACCAGAGGACACAGAGAGCATGGGCATCAGCCAGAGTCCTGGGGACTGATGGGTTTTTGCATTTGCCCGGGGTGTGGACAAGTTAGTTTACATCTCAGAGCTCCCAGTTTCCTTGTCTATAACACGAAGACAGTATTGTCTCATTCTAAGAGTCGTTATGGGCATTGAATGAGGATAATTCATGATTAGCACTGTCAACATGGGGATTGTTCAAGGCATGTGCTCAATTCATGTTAGCCAGTATTGATTATTAATAGTATTAATAATCATATTATTATTATTTGCTATAAATAGTCTGTTCAAACATGTCTCAAAACAGTGAAAAGAAGGTGAGAGAACACTAAGGAATCTTACTAATTTGCTACTGTGAGCACTGGTCAGTCAAAAAACAAATGAAAGATGAGAAAAAATGATAAGGCAACCCCCCCACCCCGAACCTCCATGTCTTGGCCATGCTGATTCCCAATGCTTTTTACCTTTGAAGGAGCTGAGTGGCCTGTTCAGAGTCTCTTCTCCCCTTACCACTCACCTACTCTTAATCTCCTCTCCCATCCTTAGCTTCCCAAACTAAGTGCTTGAAGATTTGTTTGCTTTTTTACCTATGATGTCATTTGATTCTGTGGCAAAATAAAAAGTTATCAATGAAGGGAAATGCTCCAATTTGTGCATATGCAAGACACTCAAGATTTCAAAGTTTTTTAGCAAGTCTAGCACAAAGATGTCCAAATGTTTTCTCTGGAGATATCTTCAGAGGCTAAACTGTGATTAATAGCCCAGAAAGAACCCTTTGAAGCAGGATTGGTGACATCAAAGTCATAATCCAGGGGTGGCAGGAGCTTTATAATGAGTGGGAAGCATTTTAACACATTTCAAAGGATTTACAGCATGAATAAACAATAGACCTCAGCAGATGCACTACACACACCTTTCTAACCTATAAGAAGTTTCCATTTTAATTTAAATGTAAATATAGCTTTCATATTTGTTTCAAAGCATCGTCTCAGCTTCACCCCTAGATAGCCTCTTTGGCTAAGGATGCCTCACTGCCCCAGAGCACCCTCCTGTGCTTCCCAAAACTGTGAGTACTGATGTGTATTGGGAAAGGAAAATGGAAGACAGAGGCATCTAGTGGAATTTATATCCAATATGGGAACTGGGTTAAGAAAGAATCTGCAATGGAGCTTACAGTGATTCCACACAATTTCTCTGCTTCCAACTTAAAGAGAAAGAGACAAGCGGTCTGAAGACAGAGCTGGAACTTTTAAACAATGGCAATTTCCTGCCTGCTTAGAGGATTTCATCT